TGTCTTATTCTTGCAGATAACTTCTATCCTTCAATTAGGAAAAATTCAGCAAAGAACATCCTTTTCGATAATTTCATCTTCTGGCTCTACAATTATATACATATTGACATTCATAGAATATTCTAGAATAACTGTCATTAACAATATTGGTGTTTTTAAACATTATCGATTCGTTAAGGTCAACGAAATTACAGTTCAAGAAAGGCGCTTAATTTATAATAAGCATAAAAATGCAACAGAAAATAGAATACCAAATAAAATGAAGGAAATTTCCACAACAAAAACCTTGATGGCCAATGTAAGGACAGGGTCCTATTCAACTTCTTTTCGATACATAAGCGAGGTTTCTTAATGTAGATCCCAGGTCGTGTATCCACAGGATGAGATAAAATAGAGCTATGAATGGATTTTGTTTGTCATCTACCTAACCACGCACGATGATGTTGGGAAATCTGACAAGAAACACACCTAATTCTACGGCCCATGTAACTGGCTCCACAGGAGCAGTCAAATTGGTAGGTACACATAGAAGACACGAAATGGATGGTTAGTCAGAGGAGAAAAATCGAAAAGCAGTAACTCTATCCTCGAACACCTTGTCATCTCCGGACATCGAGCACCTCCGCATGAGTGCTACACAGTCCCTCAATATCGTACAAAGGGACTTCAGATACGCCATCTGTACATAGCTGAAGCATTAGCTATTCGAGATCTGAAACCGAACCTCTGCATTCATAAGCGCTAAATACATTCACTCGCCTTACCGTGGCCAGAGTAAAGTTCTTACTATTATTTTGCTTCTTCTTTTTATTATGTAAGTTTACTATTATTATTATTACTACTATTATTTTATTATGATTATTATTCCCATCATCCATATTCTATTATCACTTTATTACTGTTTATCAATAACATTGCTTTTTCATACAGATTTTATGTAAAAACACTTTACCGCCTTTCCACTAGTTCCTGTCCATTCTACACGAGCTTATCGTGATTAGACATTACGTCATGCCAACTTCTGCCACTTTTCTAAATTACAATTAGTCATTTCATCTAGGTCACACCTTACATTATGTAATACATTTTTCGAGAACAAAGTTTACCAGTATCTGATTGGTCTAAAGATTTTTTTGTTAATTATAATTGCGATTGTACAGCTCATGAAAATGAATCGCTGTTTACGCCTTTTTCTTACAATTATCACTTCCCCATTTGACGTGGTAATATTAACAAACTTGCTGAATGTAATGAAAATAGTTGGCTACCTGTGTAACAGTAGACTTGGATGGTAACGGAATGTTTATTTAGAATCTCTATGTAGCGAAATTATATATACACCTTATCTCCAAATCGTCATTTGCACGGATATTCCATGTTTTACTACTTCTGTCCTTCCTTCGTATTGTCTTCTTTTCGTATCTTCCATATTTTGTCGCAACGGTGGTTCATAATTTGCTCTCCTTTGACTTCAAATCTATCTTGGTATTTGTGTGTACACCGATAAACATCTCTTTACATACTCCTGCTTGAACCATTGGACTACGTGAATTTCCACCCTACATACAATACATCATTGTTTTAACCATTCAAATATGTCCTTGACTGAGAGAGAGAGAGCGCGCGCGCGAGTCACAAAATGTAGTCATGCACATTTTTAATCAGCTATCAGACTACACGTGAGCGCATTTCTCTGAGACGAAGAACAAATAATACCAAAAACGATTAAGTTTGTACTTCAAACCGAACGGTATTACGTCACATGATATACTATATATTGCTTGCTATTTTACTTGAAGATCTTAAACAAAGACAAAGTACTATGTAGTAAATTATGTCGAGAATTCAGTATATTATGTTGTAAATACCTTGTCCAGAATAAAGCCATTGTTATTATCATTATTATTACTGAAACTATTTGTGCCTATGCATGAAAATAATGGACATGAAATATTTCACCGGAGACAAAAATTGAATTCTCCTTCCAAATACAGCTGTAGACCAACACACACACAAAGACACACGTGCAGTCCATGTCTGCAAATTATGCAGGAGGCGATTGGAAGTCACGCGATATAGATAGCCGAGCCAATGTTAACATTGTAGTGTGTGGTGTGTAATATGTTTTCCACATTTACCGCTTTATTCTCTCTTCAAATACACCTAGTGTGAAGACAAACCATCATCATCATCAACTGGAAGGATTATTTTAGAATAAAACCAAATTAACGCATTCCTAAATATTATTATCAGTCAACTACACTACTTGTCAATCATCATAATAATAAAATAATTAGGCTGCAATGGTTTATGTTTAAATGAAGCTAAAAACTTATATATCCAACTGAGAATATGGTTGGTAGGAAAGAAAGAAGGGAAATAACGGTCTTATTTTCTAGTTATAATTACAATCAGCAAAATCTACAATTGTAAAAAAAACAATGGGACAACATAAGATTGCCTAGGAAAAACTAAACTTATTATCTTTAAAGCTTAAAAATGTTGTGATGCATTTCCAAAAAGAAGTTAACCATTTTCAAGAAAGATGTTTATTGCAGGAGAGAATAAAACTTGCTACCTTCAACAATATTATAATTATTATTATTCGCTTGAGTTCTGAGTGGAACATATGGTGGCTTCAACAACACATATCTACACTTCGTCCAACTTTCTGCTGTCCTCTTCATGCCCAACTCGTCGCTCCCCACCCAAACGATGATCTCCTCGGAGTGTGCCCAATCTAAGTCCATTTGTTGAATGAGAGGCACTTGGTTAGTGTGTTCCCATGGTTTCTTTTTACTAATTCTTTAACATCAGTGGCTTAGTGGTAAAACACTGGCCAACCGCGAAAGTGGTCCGGGGTTCCATCACAAGCTGACAAATATTTGGTCGACCGAAGGAAATGGCTCTCGAGTGATTGCGCCAATGCCCAGTAGTCAATGGGTGTATAATTATGTGAAAAACCTGGCCTAATTTACTAGTTTTCTAGCCGGTCCCACACCCGGGAAAAGAGGGAGGGTTGGGCTAGCAACCTTACCCCATAACACCAACCAAACTGTTACAGAAACTTCGACGCACAAGAAAAAACATTAAAGATACAACAATACTATAAATGAACCACAAACTTTTTATTAATCAGTGTGTCGTGAAAATCTACTACAGTCACAATAAAGAACAAGATTCGGATACTACTCAACACCAGCGTGAAGTCAGTCAGTCAGTTCTACTACGTGGTTCAGAGACTTGCACCGTATGTCATCAAAACTATTTCCAACAGGTAACTGAAGATTTTTATCAAACCCTGACCCCTTCGCTCCAGTCTGATTATCAGAAGGTCTATCACAGAAAGGACCAGAAACTAGGAACTCTGGCGCCCTGTGCTCTACTCGAAACGTTAAGGGAATAATAACAATAATATATAATCAGATTAACAAGTACCTTTGCAGATGGAATATTCTTTCCAACAGCACAAATCTCATTTCCGTTTTGTGGGAATTAAGATATCCAGAAAATATTACATACATACTACATGGACTATAAGCTACACTTTCTGAGTGCACTTCTTTTGGATGCATAACGCTGATCTTCACATCAGTTATGCCCACTTCTTCAAGTTATGACTAACGATGCCACCGAGTCAGACTAAATGACATGAGGTGGGATTTCAGCTCGTGACCTGTTTTATAATAAGGTCTGTGAACTTATTTATGTCGTAAAAACGACAAACAATAAAAATCTTAGATAGAAACACCATAAACGACCTGGTACGACAGAAGGTTGCGGTACACTTCGGTCTTTTCCTGAAAATTCTCTCTACACGGCCACGTGTTGTCGTACATAGCCTCTAACAAAAGTAAGCCCGATTCACATACTCCCTTCATGCTACAGAGGAAGTGTTCCTTAACAGGGCAAAACAGTGAGTACTGTCTGTCTGCCTGTTTTCGGCATAGAACTTTGCACATATGTGCGCCACTTCAAGTCGCCACACTCCCTCCTTGTAGCACACAAAGCAACAGAAGAAAGTACAAGAAAAGCATAATAGAGACAGTAAACAGAGGTGTGAGATAAAGGAAGAGTAATAACGAAGAACAAAACAGTTTCAGTGGAAATCATAAGTCACAAGGAGTGGATGCATCTCCACCAGCCACCGAGGACAATCACTTTGAGCCATATCACCAATTGTTTCCAACCTTTGGTTTTTACCGTCCCGGGGACCCCAACCAGTCAGGAAGTCCACAGCTTCCTACGTGGCTGGCTTAAACTAACTGTTGTGGATTTCATTGACTGATGAAGCTACGTTTTCGTTTGACCTCCGCTAGCATTTTTCCAGCCTGACCATATATTCGCTAACATTGCTCGTCGAGGAAGGCGATGACTAGGCATATGTAACGCATGTCCTAACCATCTCAGTCGATGTAGCTTCACAGTCTCGTCTATTGATTTCCCCTCCTCACCTAGCACTCGACGCCTAACCTCAATAATGCTCACCTTATTATACCACTTCACACGGGAGATAGAGCGCAGGCACCTATGATCAAAGGCAGCTAATCTTTTCATGTCTTCCACTCTCAATGGCCAGCCAGCGAATGCGAATGTGTTTCATTATCGTAACAGAGAAAGCTGCAGCTGCAGTCCTCCTCACCTAATGCTTCCTATACACATACGCTTTGGAATATATCAAAAAGAAACAAGTCAAAAATAGGAGAGAGAGAGAGTAACATTCAGAATGAACTTGAAACCTTTATTAAATTGTATAATAACAAAAGATGAAAGAATGAATCAAGGTAGCCCTGAGTTTTGTTAATTAAAAACTTGTCAGTCAATGATTTCAATTATTGTAGAGAAAAGTCATGTATGTCCACCACATATCAACAATCAATCATCAATAAATAACAACTGACTTGATAAAACAAAGATTATACAAAAAAAAAACAGAACAGATGGAAATGTGTGCAATGAATGGAACTGCAAGGGTGTCTGCGTCTACAACTTTGTAAAATTTAAACAGCATCCAAACGCTTGGTAACAGTACAATCAGGTGAATCAGGATGAAGTAGGCCAGATTTTTCTGCATCTACTGATTTCAGTGCAGATGACTGTTGTTCAGCACGTTTCTTCATTGCATATTGTTCTTGTTCTGTATAACGCTTTAGCATTGCTTGTAAAATCTCTTGTGTAATCAGACTGCCGGCATTTAAACGCATCATTTGTAAGAGAAAACTACCATCTAGTCGAAGAAAAGTCATTTCAAATCGAGCAAGCAATGGATCCATTGATTCTTCATAGACATCTGCAATTTTTAAATATCGTACTAAAAGTCTTAGACGTGATTGTCGAGCGGCTAGACGATAAATCCATACACCAATACTTGCAAATTCCAAAGAAGCAATAAATACAAACCAAAACCACAGGAACACGTAGATTTTCTCGTTTAACATATTCACTGGTAGTGCACATTGAACAGTCACCATAGGTATCGGTGTGCTTGTCAATTTTATCGGTACACGACAGAAACCCACTCTAGGGAAAACACTTGTTTCATTCCAATGTCTACCCATAATCAGATCATTTAAAATTGATATACCAAATAGACGATAATCCCCTTTAATACCTAGAAATCTTTCCATCAACAAAAGTTGACCAATTGAATTCAACAAGTATAGACATTTGATCAGCATATAATAGGTGATTAATGCAGTGCCAAGTCTTTTTCGTGGAAGCATATTTTGAATAGTATGGAAAAATGTTGTCATGCCATTTTCATTTTTCTTATCATCTGGTCTACGTAAATCTCGACGAGCAAACAAAAGTGTATCCATAACATTTGCTATGAATTGAACACGCGTAGCTCGTTCATTCCCTGTCTCTTTTGAAGCAGCTTGAGCTGATTCAACCAGAAATCCTAAATTAGTTCCAACACGATTGAAGCTGATTGCTTCCCAGATAAGACGAGGTAAATAGCACAGAATCGCTTGCAATGCCAACACCAATGATACCCATTGATAATAATCTAAAAGATTTTGGGAAAAAAACAAAAGAGGATCATTTTGAGGAAATCATTATGACTACTACCCATTCATTGTAGTACACACTCAATTTAACACACCCAGTCATAAAAATACCACAAAATAGAAAATGAGTTAATACTTGAGAGGGAAAAAACATGGACAGAATGCAAATACAAATACTAAAGTTTAGTGACCAACAACTTTGAATTATAGGAGACAAAAGCCAATATCTGCGTACCTACTATTTCATGCTTGGTATGTGTATGTGTGTACAAACTGCTGAAGTATTTCCAGTGTGGCGTGTGCTACTGTTAAGATTTATCAGTAGTATATAAAGAGACGTTCATCGACACACACACAAATATCGGAGAGAGGTACATTTGACATCAAACAGAGTAAATCATGAATCAGCGTTGCGGCGAAACACGGGAGACACGAAAAGAAGACAATACGAAGGCAGGTCAGAAGTACGACAACACGGAAAATCTGTGCAGCAAATGACGCTTTTCAGATAAAGTGTACATATAATTTCGCTACATAGAGATACTAGACTCCACATAAACATTCGACCGATAGGCTCTCTGGAGATGCTTGGCTGTAAAGGGAATGCCAAGAAAATCCATTGCACTGATTAAGGAACTCTACTCGTACTCATGCAGCCAAGTGAGGGCTTACGGCGGGTTGTCATCTGAACTGGTGACGACCAGTAGCGTCCGTCAAGGATGCCCATTATCCCTATTTCTATTCAACTTCATCATAGATGTACTAATGGACTTAACCCTAAGTGACTTCAGCGACTCAGGGATTGACTTGCTACCAGGGAATAATCTCGTTGACTTGAAATATGCAGACGATATAGTCCTTCTAGGCGAGGACTCTGACAAAATGCAGAGTCTTCTAAACAACTCGAGCTGCAATCTACGAATGTTTGACATGCGATTCGCTCCCGCCAAATGCAAGATGATGTCACAGGACTGGACTGCACCGACTCCTAGATTAGAAATAGGAAGTGAAGTGGTAGAGCACGTTGACCGCTTCACTTACTTGGGAAGTACCATCAGCCCCAACGCCAACGGGTTGATCTCCGACGAAATCTCAGCATATATACAGGAGGCTCGTTTCGCATTTGCCAGTTTACACCGTCTCTGGCGTAGACGAGATATTCGACTATCGACCAAAGGGCGGGTGTACTCCTCATCAGTGTGCTCCGTCCTCCTTTATGACTGTGAGACCTGGCCATTGAGAGTGGAAGACATGAAAAGATTAGCTGCCTTTGATCATAGGTGCCTGCGCTCTATCTCCCGTGTGAAGTGGTATAATAAGGTGAGCATTATTGAGGTTAGGCGTCGAGTGCTAGGTGAGGAGGGGAAATCAATAGACGAGACTGTGAAGCTACATCGACTGAGATGGTTAGGACATGCGTTACATATGCCTAGTCATCGCCTTCCTCGACGAGCAATGTTAGCGAATATATGGTCAGGCTGGAAAAATGCTAGCGGAGGTCAAACGAAAACGTAGCTTCATCAGTCAATGAAATCCACAACAGTTAGTTTAAGCCAGCCACGTAGGAAGCTGTGGACTTCCTGACTGGTTGGGGTCCCCGGGACGGTAAAAACCAAAGGTTGGGAACAATTGGTGATATGGCTCAAAGTGATTGTCCTCGGTGGCTGGTGGAGATGCATCCACTCCTTGTGACTTATGATTTCCACTGAAACTGTTTTGTTCTTCGTTATTACTCTTCCTTTATCTCACACCTCTGTTTACTGTCTCTATTATGCTTTTCTTATACTTTCTTCTGTTGCTTTGTGTGCTACAAGGAGGGAGTGTGGCGACTTGAAGTGGCGCACATATGTGCAAAGTTCTATGCCGAAAACAGACAGAGAGACTGAGCATACTTCTTGTTGTGACAGCATACAACAGGTATGACGTTGGTTTAACTGACTGACTGGTTTCAATATAGAACTTTTCACAAATGATCAGCAGTTCGAGCTACCTCAATCCCTCCATGTAGCACACAAAGCAAAAGAGTGTAAGAGAGATTCAAAAGAAAGAGATAAACAGAAGTGTGAGGGGAAAACAACGGTAATATATAGGAATAATAGTTTTATTGGATATGGTGAATCATAAAGAGTGAATGCATCTGCACCTTTAAGAATAATTTCGAGCCATATTACCAGTTGTCGTCCCTAACTTTTGGTTCTTGGCTTCCCAAAGACCCAAACCATGAAGCCTGCATTTTCTTAAGTGGCTCAAACTAACTGTCAAAGACTTCACAGACAGATGCCAAATTTTGGTCTGACCACCACTAGCTTCCCACCAACACCTGATCATATGTCAGCTAACATTGCCCATCTCAGTCGATGTAGATTCATAACCCCATTGGTTGACACTCCCTCCGTACCTAACACTCGATGTCTAACCTCAATATTACTCATACTTTTATACCACTTAACACGGGAAATAGAACACAGAAACCTATGATCAAAGACAACTAGCCACCCTTTTAATGTCTTCCACTCTCAACGGCCATGCCTCACAGCGGACTACTGAGCAGTACACACGCCCTTCGGTCGATAGCCAGCCAGATATCACGTCTAAGCCAGAGATGGCCTAAGTTGACAGGCAAATGCCAGATGAGCCTTCTGTATCCGTGCTGAGATTTCGTCACCTATCAACCCGTTGGCGTTGGCTGATGCAACTTCCCAAATAAGTGAAGTGGTCAACACGCTCTACCACTTCACTTCTTATCTTTAAGCTAGTAGTCAATGTAGTCCAGTCCAGTCCTGTAGCATCACCTTATACTTGACAGGAGTAAATCGCATACGAAACATTTGAAGACTGCTCTTCAAGGTGTTCAGAAAAATCTGCTCAGTTTTCTCAGCGTTTTCACCTAGGAGGAAGGACTATATCATTTTCATATATTCTAAGTCAACGAGATTATTCCCTGATGGTCAATCCTTGAGTCGCGGAATTCAGTTACATCCATACACCTATGATGAAACTAAACAGAAGTTATGGGGACAGTCGGCATCCCTGACGGATACCACTGGTGGTTGCAACCACTTCAAATGACAACTCTCGATTTGCTCTCACCTGGCTGACTGCATGAGTTCGAGTGGAGTGCCTTGATTAGTTGCAATGCATTTTCTCGGTATTTCCTCCCTTCAGAGACTAACATCACCATAGTACCTCTATGTCAGCGGAATAGAATGCCGCCTCCAGGTCAAGAAATATGACGATTGTTGGACGCCGCCAGTAAGTATACCCTTGCCCCAGAATCTGTCGAAGGATGAAGAAATCGCCAATACACTCTCTTCCTAGTCTAAAACCTGTCTGGTTCTCTCGTGTTTGTTCCTCCTGAGCACCCACTTAGTCTACGCATTATTATTGAACCTAGAACTTTAGATACCATATTGGTCAAGGTAATCCCCCTGTGATTATCACAGAAAGACTTGTCTCCCTTCTTTTAAATCGAAATAATCAATGACTTACACCGGCCCGCTGGGAATTGTTTAAAGTAACACACTGAAATTATGCAATCTCTAGACATCCCAATACCAAGCGTGATAGTATACGCGATGGAAAAACAATGAAGCTTTTGACAAGAAGAATAAGAGAAATATCACACACTAAAATGTAACCATTCACAATGAGGTTAGCAAAAACTCTAAAGGAATTTTTTCTACAACCTCATTCGACCTATGAATAGATTTTACTAATCCACTAATTCTAAGAGACGTTAAAGGTAATGAGTGCAATTGTAGCTGCCATAGTTTGAATAATTAGTGAGAACTTCACTGATGAATATGATGATTCGATTGTAAATCCATTAGGAGATCTTTTCTAGTAAGACAGACTGAAAAAACCTAAAAGTTTCAACTATTTGATTGGATTATAACAAGTGTAATTGCTAGGATGGCATTTAGGACTACAATCTGGCCTCCCTCCTCCACCTATAATTTTGGGATGGTAGGTGAACATAGGCATAAAAATTAAATTTAAAGTACCCACCATCTCTTGTAAACCTATGTAATACGAATTTCATATCCAGTTAACAGGTTATAGGGGACTGGAACGTTAACAGATCTGAAGGTGCGGGGCATTTTTTTGAACTCAGTTCCCAGAAAATATTTTTTTATACAGCAGGCTAAGAGCCACCCTTTATCCCCATGAAGGTCAGTGATACTACCCAGCTGCCTGTGCTGAAGTAGGTGGAGAGAGAATCGAACCCGGGACCCATCGATTGAAAACCGAGTGCTTAAGCCAATGAATACTTCTCGACATGTGACTCGTCCGTACTAACTCAGCTTTCAGCTAATGGGTCCAGTGTTCAAACACCGCCTCACCTACATCAGCTCTCAGGCAATCAGTATGACTTATAGTTTGACAAATGATAGATACAAAAGGCTAGACAACTGAAAACCAAGGGTAAAAAGTAAAAAAACAAAAAAAGACTTACTAATTTTCTTGTCTTCTAAACTATTCCAATACTTCTGATTGTCTAACTGGTCGGTATCAACACTAATCGGTGTTGTACCATTGATCCAACAAAATGCATTAATATACGGTCCGAGATTAGAACCCGAGAATGTAGTAGGTATATAACATGACAATGGTTCAAAGACATACGATTTCAGTGTAACAATAGTGAAACACATAACCAGAATAACAAATGATAACATGTAAGAGCATCGGTCGGCGAAATCATCTAGACCGACTGAATCAACAAAATGAAGTTTATCCAACTGGGAAATAAACTCCAAAGCAACCATTTTGATAGCTACACAGAAGTAAACGAAAGAATGGAAAGGAAAACTTTAAAGTATATGAAGTAATTGAAATTAAACATAAACGTTATTTTTAAAAATATAGACTAATGCAACAGATTTTAAGTTCAACATACTCGCTCTATAGAAGGAACTAGATGCAAATCCTAACCTGAAGAGCACTGAAAGTAGTAGTGTGTGCACCTAAAAGAGTTTTCTTTTATTCCTTCACATTCCCAGTGGAACAAAGGGCCTCAAGCTAGAGCCAGATTGGAGTTTCTGTAGCAGTGGTGATTATCTCTACAGGATGGGGTTGCTAGCCTCATACTCAACTTTACCTCTTTACCAGCTTTATTACTGGCTTAGAGAGGTAAAGGAGTACGTCTGTGGCCGGGGATCGAACTCCGGACCATATGCATGGTCGGTGAGCGTCCTAACCGCTGTGCCACCGACGCACCCTAAAAGAGTTAATACTTCAAAACTAATTCACTAAGCAACATATCCGAACTTGAATACTTAAGTATCATAAAGGCACTGAGATTTCAAATCGCCCAGGTAAACGACCTGATATGACAGAAGGTGGGTAGGCCCTTGTTCTCCTCTCTGAATGTTCGTACGAGGCCACACGTTCAGGACCTATAGCTATCCCACTCACTTCCTTTACGCCACGGTGGGTGTTCATTACGAAAGTGGAAGAGCGAATTCGAAAGTTTTACGTTTACAATCGGACTGATAGTGGACATGCAAGCTTACTTAGGGGAGGTGGAAAACCCTCATTCCAAAACTATGGTTTACATAGACTCTAGAATCCCAACAAACAGGATGGTACATAAATCTGTTCTAGTTACCGGTAACCATGGGAACGTAGTTCCTCACGGTGTTCTACTGTCTTGTGGATTAGACTTCAAGTCAAAGGCTCAAAACGTAGCCCCATAAGACAACGGCCTACTTTAATCAGTAGGCCTGGCTGGCCTGAGCAGTATCCCTACCTCGTACAAATTGAGATTTTGTGTGATACATCTTTTGGTACCGATATAATGTATCAAATTTTTCGTTATAATAATGATAATAATAAACATTTGAAATCGAATTACTGAATAAAAATGTAAAATTTTGTGAGATAAATTTGGTTCTTCTCTTCATTTACTACTAACTATCGTGTGAATTCAACAATTCTTTATCTCACAACTAGAGTCAAAATATCCCTCAGATTTATTAATCATGACAAGGAGGTTCACTAGACTAACTATAGCTCCTAATGTTGAATTTTGTACACCATATCTATGTTATTTAGTACGGCTAGTATGATTTAACTACCACAAAATTAAAATGTTTATAATCTTTGAGATAATCAGTGTATTAAGTAAGCAGAGATAACTCCGCTAGAGATTTGTGATTACCTACTTTTAGGTCAAATTGCATATCGAATACTGGAATTTCAAAAGTAAGCTTAGGTTCATATTACAAAGCTATCACAATTGCACTTAATCTCAAGGATAGAACGCAGTTGTACAGTCTGAAACAGATGGAGTGGAGTTCAAAAGTGGAACTCAATGGTCAGAAGTTAAATGATTAAACCGACTAGTCATGTATCCTCTCATAGGACAAAACAAAGAACTATGAGTAATTAATGCAAATCTTGGATACACATTTCTATCAAAGGTGTAATGAAATTCAATTTACCAACCACTTGTAAACTTGTCTCAGCTATCCATAAAAGTTCTTTTAGTTACCAAGGTATGAGCCAAACCTATTACAGGGGGAGGGAGGCTGGTAATACTATTCAGTTGTCCAGACCAAAGTAGGTGGAGCAAGATTCGATCCATGGACCCACCGGCTGAAAGCTGAGTGATTAAGCCAATGAGACACATCTGTACACTTAAATCAGTGACTGTCCACAAATCTAAAGTAAAGACCTCGAACCATATATATATATATATATATATATATATATATATATATACTAAGGTTAAACTACACTAACACATGTCTTGACTATACCAAATGCATCTTGCTTTGAAAATGTAAGCTGAAAATTAACTTCCTGAGGTACTAAGCAGTAAATTTAATAGACTTTAAGGTGTATAAAAATGAATCAATGTTACTCACTACCCACTTGCGATTTTCATGCAGTTGACAATGGGTCACACCGACTATGTGTGGGACAGTGATACTGCATGGCTGCCCAAAACCCGATAGGTGGAACGAGTTTTGAACCTGTGATCCACTAATTCGAACGCCTTAGACCGATGAGCTACAGCTTTACACTTTAAAGTGACTAGTACATCGATGTACTGGAATTACTGCTAACATCGAATTACACCATCCATACAGTAACAATTTCTTTAAACACAGAAAACAACTTACATAAGTACTTGAATAAATCAAGCCTAATACGAAGAATAAAACTACGTAATTAATAACCTCATACAATGAATGAAATAAATCAACACAATGTATTCACAGTAAACAGTGTCCTTTATATGTGACAACAATACACCTACGTAAACGATAACATATGCATGAACAGTCAAGGTCACACACTAATTGGAATGACGTATAGTCAATTAAAAACTCGACTAGTTCCAGGTATCATGAGAAAATGTGATCACTTTAGCCAACAAAAATCACATTTTATTATTGTGTTTGAAAACAAGTTGACTACAAATCACATAAAACTTGAATAAATAATTCACAACAGGCTATAGTAAAAATTCTTGTAGCTTTCAGTCCAATTTTTGTGTCAGACAGGTTAGGTAGGTAGAGAGATCAAATCAATGGGGTTGATACACCTGATAGTTTATATTTGTACCCCACTGTAGTGGTAATGGTTCACCATTCGGCTCTAACGGTGGGGGGAGAGGGTACTAGGTTGGAATTCTACGTATGCTATCAAAGTCTAAGTCGCTTCACGAGCCTTCATATTACAGATCGGAGGTATACACTTACCAGTGTCGGCCTGCTGAGCTTATTTAATGCACTACAACTACATCTGACATTGACAACTAATAATGCAAAGCAAACGCACCTTGATGTAATTAACACTTTTCACATAATGACAGATTTAAGAAAACTAGCAGTCTAAAATAGTCAGCACTTTTATCCGAAATGGTATATTTAGCTCAGTGACAGCCTAAAAAAGTTCTACTGGCTTTTAGACTTTCCAGAAGATACTTACAAATATGTATTATGTTCACATGAAAAATAATAAACCTGATGTTTTACTGTCAAGGACACTAATCATTGTTAGAAATACAGCATAATAATCTTAATCCCTTTACTCAGACAAAAATTCCATTAAACAACAGAAAACAGTATCTTAAGTGGATCAATACGATCACTGAAATCTACGTGGTTGGAATAAAAACAGTTCCAGAACTTTTGTCTTGAAGCCTTACATGACAGTTTTAGCTAAGCATGCCTTGACTAGCGTACTAACCACTCCTAGGACCCAAAGAGGAGGAAAGATGAACTGTAGAGCCACCGACTGTACCCAATAAAAAAGCAGCCCTATCGCTATGGAGCACAGAAAAATATAAAAAATGAACTTATTCTTCACTGAAATTGGAAGACGGGAAGAAAGACGCTGGCTGGTGAAAGCCACCAGGAAGCCAATCAGTCGGTGGATTTTTTCGACGAAAGCAAAAGTAAGCATAGGGAAAATTAATGACCTGCACGATGGTGAGATCAACTGGAAAAGCTACTCAGATCACAGGGGAAGTGAGAAGATATAGCATGGAAGTGTTAGGAATCCTTGAGAGCAAGTGGAATGGACGTGGACTCTTCGAATTGTTGGCTGAGAAGTCGATGACCTACCTCGGTAACCCAGTCGACAACCATGAACATACACACGAAGTGCCTATCATGATGTCACCAACAGCATCGAAGGCTCTTAAGTAGTGGAAATCGATCTCCCCAGGATGACAACAAGATTCTACTCAAAAGAAAGTATAGCTTCAAGTATACACCGCTACAAACGACGCAGAACAGGACAAGGAACAGGATCTCTACAGATGAATAACAGTAAGCAGCGATGGACAAGACCCCAGTCAGAGGGCGACATCAAAATCCAATGGATGATATGAGTGCAAGAAAGACTGCAAGCAGACAACACAGGAAAAGAACTCATTATACATCGCGGGGCACTAGCCCCGTGAAATGAATGGGAACCCAGAACTCTACAGACTTCTGTGAATCTAATGACTTGGTGACTAGAAGCAGTATGTACAAGCACAACGACATCCAGAAGACATGGGTTTCATCACATGGACACACGGAAAATCTGACAGACGTCATCTCAATCTGAAGAAAGAGAAGTTGTAGCCTACTGAACACAAAACCGAGAAGACGAACAGATACAGGCTCACACCATTATGTACTGCAAAAGACCTACATATTTAAGTTAAAAACCTTCAAAGGAACAGGAGATAGACCACCAACTTCTGGAGGTTGAAAGACAACATTACAAAACATGCCTTCACCGCAGTCATCGGGAGAAGGTTGGAGATATTGAGCAGCATCAGAGGAGAAACCTGAGTGGGAGAACACCGGAGCTCTCCGCAAGTAACGTGGGAGGAAACCTGTATCGACATCTGAGGCAGGAAGAGGAGTTGTGATAAAGAATGGCTCTTGAACATCCGAAAGCTTATAGAAAGGTGGTGAAACAGATGATCCAGTGCGGAGATGAACAACAAAAAGGAAAGCTGAGTATAACCTACAGTGCACTGAAAAAATGAGTGTGCCAGGAGAGAAGTGACGTTTTTACAACACATTGGCAACTGAAACAGAATCAGCTGCAGGTAAGAGATATCACAACATTACATCAAAAAACCAAGTGCTATCCGGGAAGAAATCAGAACAGATGAAGTCAGTGAGACATAGTGAAAACCCAGTTAAAGAGGTGAAACAAAGGAAACCATAGACCGATTACCTCAGATGGACCACCATTTGCAACGCATCTAGAAATACCATGACAGTATACATGGATGCCAGTGAACACCAACTCTCCGACAAAACAGTAGCCGCAAAAGCCATTAAATTACAAAGGCCGGATAAGCAGCAAGACTAGGCAAAGTTCAACAATAGAGTCCCAAGTCATGAGAACGCACGAGTGACCTTGAGCCAACCACTAAAAGATGAAGATTTTTGTCCAAGAATGACGTTTACTTACAAGAAAATGCATAAAAAAATTACACAGGGTATCGTTCTCTGACACGACTTAAAAATACGTCCCAGTTATAATGAGGAGTATCAGTTGCTAAGTTAGACTAGTTTCTGTACATGTATTCACAGAGGTGACTGAAGATGAGCCGTTTTTGTGAACTGTTTATTTTTCTTCTCCTGTTGTACAGTCTTCCGTAAAAGCCCTCAGTTGGGTTATTAGGATTTCCAATAAGAAGATCGACGGCCACTTACTAGGAAAATGTGAATAATAAAACATTTAATTTAATTAAATTTTTTAATTTAATTTATTTTGCTTTATTTCAAAAACAGTAGTAATGATACAGCAAGGAATTTTCAGCATTCACCACAATATTGCATCTAATTTAGTCATAAACGACAAAAAAATAAAAATACACATTACACAACGATTGTTATGGCAGCTACATAGCAACATACTGTATGCCATACGGAGGAAAATATGCATAAAGTACAAAATTGTAGTAATAATAGTAATACCAACTAAAATAAAATAGCAGAGTAATAATTAAACGATAGAAAGTGTGACACCATTAAATACAGAAAGATGAACGATGAAAGGGTCGATTCACTGTGTTAATTACATAGTAACTTATAAGTTTCACGTCTAACAGTCTTCGTCACATAAAGTACGGGCTAAATAGGGCATTGTAGAATTTCTATACTTAGTGGTACGAGCATATAACTTTTTATATTGACTTCTCGTCCTACCTGATGAGATACAAGAGGATAGGTGTGAATAAAGGGGGTGCAGAGGGTCTGACAGTATAACCTTTGCCCATTTTGTACAGGAATTTATATGCCTATCGACTATAGTGTTAGCGAGCTCATGCAGTGGCAGATCACAAGCCCTACTCACAGCATTTAATACTCTTCGTAATATGATATAATCTTTTTTGAGAAGCCCAGCAAATATATAAAACCAACTCTTAATATATCCCTATTCGCAGCCCTAACCTTAATCCTAACCGTAACCCTAAACTTAGCACTAACCCTAACCTTAACTGAAACCCTCATCCAAACCGTAAACCTAACCTCAATCCCAATTATGACCGTAATCCTAACCCTAACCCCAATCCAAACCCTAACGAGATATTAACACATTGTTCAAACAGTATTTAAAAACATGATCTGGGTGAAATCTGCTTCTTAGTTGGTGAACAGCGTTGATATTTCAGCTATGATAATGACAGGTGCTATTAGCCAACGCCCAGCATGCTTTCAAGGTCATTGGAGCGTTGCCACTACTGAGACGCTATTGTTGAACTTCGCTCAAGACTATATGGAATCCACCGGGAACACTGAGTACAGAGCCCCGAAGATCTCAAAAAACATTCCCACGTCACAAGTGCAGATGTAGAAGAAAGGAAAGGGACATACCGATTGGAAGAGTAGACAAGTCAAATCGCCGAAGAATAGAGAATTTAGTCTGTGCACGAACTTGCGCAGAATCATGCTCCTCTCCACACCAAACAAAATATTGGGCCACACACCTAAAACATACTCAGGATGAAAATCTACGCCCAGGACAAGTTAAATTTAGGAGACAAATCATGTGCAAACCAAACTGCATCGCTACGTACCATCGTCGAACAGACCATAGTATGACAGTCAAGTACCTACCTCAACTTCGTCAACCTTAAGAAGGAATTCGACAGCGCCGAAGCTGCCTTAGCACTCAGGAATATGGCGCCACAAACCTTTATAAACCTCATTCAACAGTTATATGACAGTGTCACATGCCAAATCATACACTACAGAAAACTCAGCGAAGCGTTTGAAGTGGAGACAGAAGTAAAACAAGGCTGGCTACTATCACCTATGACCTTTCTAACTGCAGTGAACTGCCTCATGCGTCGGACTGTGGAGTGAGCAGACGGGTATGCATTCGTTCGACAAAAAGACTCCAAAAGATCGGGATTTTGCGGATGGATTATGTCTCATGTCACCAGCAGCTACCAACATCAGTCACCTCCAACGAAAGAAAGCTAAATGAAGTTTTATCTGTTACCTTGGTACTGTCGTATTAACTACCAGAAGGCGGCGAGGATGATGTCAAAGCTAGTCAAGATCGGAAAAGCACGACAGGCATTCATCCAGTGCGGAAATCTACAACACTCAAACTAAGGACAAAGCATCAGGAATTTTCCATACTAATGTCAAGTGAATGTTTCTGTATACTTCAGAGATTTGGTGCGCCATCAAAATTATTTCCAACAGTCTGCTGCTGACGTTCATCAGTGGTTGCTTTCAACCAACATTGAAGATCAGACGACTGTCAAAATGGATAAACAACAAGGTAGCATGGTAGAGAATCCACGAAAAAGTGATTACCGAGCGAATGTGCAGGAAGTGGAGATATTGAATTGAATATATGCTACGGAGACCACTAAGTGATATCACACGCAAAGCCATCATCAAGTGGAACCCAAATAGAAAGTGATTTGGGCGTCCGATGGTCACATGGAGATCATGTGGAGAGAGAATGAAAGCTTGTGAGTAGTCGTGAAGTCAGCGAAAGATGGTAGAGGACAAAATACAATGAAGACATTGTGCTGAAGCTCTGCATTCTACTTGGAATCTACGGGAGGGATAATATAACGGTCAAGATTACCTATATGGTTTTTTGGTTTGCTGAAGAGTTGTAGGAGTAAGACTAATTACTGCGATTATTATAGTAATCACGACGTGCAGTTGATGCCCTATGTTCCATTAGGAACCCAAGGGAACAATTATTATTATTATTATTATTATTATTATTATTATTATAGTAATCACACTGAAGAAATTTTGAATGCAGCACTACTTCTATCAGCAGATTTCGTCGCTAAATGAGGCAGATTCATTTTACTGCTGGGTATGTGTTCAATAAACACTGACTCAGTTAAATAAGAAATTACCCCGGCTTCTCATAGCCAGGGAAGACTCTAGAAGCAAGTATACACAAAAGGCTGTCTACAGTTAACTCGCACTTGCCCCCATAAGCGACCTGGTACGGCCGAGAATGCCCACACTTCAATCCCCTGTCCGAATGTTCTCATGCAGTCACGCCTTAATAGACTTGGCCAAACAAGTTCCACTCACTCACTACCTTCATGTCACGGTGGGTGTTCGTCACAAAAGTGAAATGGCCAATTTGAACATTTGACGTTGGTGAACATGCTGATCTACATAGAGACGCTGGAAAGCCGTGATTCCAAAACTACGGTGTACATGAACTCCAGAGTCCCAACAGATTAAATGAAGCTGTTTCGATCATCAGAAACCAAGGAAACGTAGCTTCTGACGATGCTCCACTTCCTCGTGGACTAGACTTTGAGTGAAAGGCTCAGGAAGGGTGTGAACCACCTTAAGACAACCACCTGCTTCGATCTGAACGTCTGGTGAGTTTCCTAGCCCTTGAGATTTTTATGTGACGCATTTCTTGGTTCCCATAACGTAACATGTTTATTTTACAATAATAATAATTTGCATCTAGGCTAAATCAAAAGCGACAGGGTACTCGTCAGGCATCGCAGATGGAAAAAGCATCGGCGATAGGCAACACTAGGCAACTCTTTAGACTCATCAGGGAAACGGGGGGAGAAGGCAATTCATAAGTGAGACTATTTCTGAGAAAAATGGCTCCTTAATTAGCTCTCAGGATAGACGCCTTGAACGCTGGAAAGAACACTTTGAGGACAATTTAACTTGCCTACAGCCACACTGAACCTCCCCGACATCCACCACACCCGAATGGGATATAGACACTGGTCCGCCGTCTGTAAGTGAGGTCACAAAAGCTATCAGTAATTTGAAACGAGGCAAAGCGGCAGGACCCGACGGAATTATTCCGGAGGTGTTTAAATATGGGGGTGACATACTAGTTTGTAGATTAACTGAGGTACTAGGCAAAGTCTGGGAATCAGAGACAGTGCCATCAGACTGGGGTAAGTCACTTATTATACCGATATTCAAGAAGGGAAACAAGTCCTCGTGTGATAATCATAGGGGGATCAGCCTAACGAACATAGTCTCTAAAATCCTAGGCTCAGTAATCATGCATAGACTAAGCAGAACTCGGGAGGAACAGACAAGGGAAAATCAAGCAGGCTTTAGACCAGGTAGAGGGTGCATAGATCATATCTTCACTCTTCGACAGATTCTAGAACATAGACACACTTTTCGGCGTCCAACAATTGTCATATTTCTTGACTTGAAGGCGGCCTTCGACTCCGTGGATCGAAAGGTACTATGGCAATGTCTGACTGTGAAGGGAGTGCCAAGAAAGTACATTGCACTAATCAAGGCACTCTATTCAAACTCACGTAGTCGTGTAAGGGCTTATGGGGAATTGTCATCTGAATTGGTAACAACCAGTGGTGTCCGACAGGGATGTCCACTTTCCCCATTTCTGTTTAACTTCATCATAGATATGCTAATGGAAGTATCCTTAACTGAACGTAGTGACTTAGGAATCGACTTGTTACCAGGGAATAATCTAATGGACTTAGAATATGCAGATGACATAGTCCTGTTAGGGGAGGATGCTGACAAAATGCAGAGTCTTCTGAACACCTTGAGCAGCAATCTTCGTATGTTTGGCATGCGATTCGCCCCTGCAAAATGTAAGATGCTGCTACAGGACTGGACGACGTCAACCCCTAACTTAGTGATAGGGAGTGAAGTGATAGAACATGTTGACCACTTCACCTACTTGGGAAGTTGTATTAGCACCAACGGACTGATTGGCGATGAAATCTCAGCACGGATCCGAAAAGCTCGAGCTGCTTTCGCTGACTTACACCATCTCTGGCGTAGGCGTGACATCCGGCTATCAACCAAGGGACGTGTGTACTGCTCATCAGTTCGCTCCGTCCTTCTCTATGGCTCTGAAACATGGCCAATACGCGTTGAAGACATGAAAAGGTTGACTGCTTTCGATCATAGATGTCTGCGATCTCTGTCTCACGTTAGGTGGTTTAATAAGGTAAGTAATGTTGACGTTAGGCGTAGAGTGTTGGGCAAAGAGGGAAAATCAATCGACGAGGCTATAAAGTTACATAGACTAAGATGGCTAGGTCACGTGCTGCGCATGCCTAACCACCGCCTCCCCCGACGGGCATTACTAGCTGATATAGGTGCAGGTTGGAAAAGAGCCAGTGGTGGCCAAACAAAAACATGGCATCAATCCATGAAATCCTTGACAGTTAAACTGAGTCAGGTAGGGAGATGCAGACTTCCGGGTTGGGGCCCTCGGGACTCTAGGAATCAATGGCTGGAGACAATAGGTGACATGGCTCAAAATCGTTGTCAATGGCGCAGATGTATTCAGTCTCTGTAATCTTTCATATTCCTTTCTACCATTACCCATTCTGTTTCACTCTTATACTTGTCAAACTCTATTGATTCTCTTCACTCATCTTCTTGTCTACCTCTGTGTGCTATTTGGAACGTGGCAACTGGAACTGCTGCACTTCGGTGCCAAGTTCGATGTTGAATCCAGACAGACAGACTCGTCAGGCAGTGTTCATATAAATTATATGCTATAGTCTGGGATGAATGGACTCCGATCTTTTCGTTAAAATGCTCTCTTATGGCCAAGTATTCACACACGCAATCAGTGAAGTCCTGTCCATGGACTAAGGTGAATATCTAAGGTTCATCGTCAGACTAATGGACATTGAGGGTTCATCAAGGGAAGTTAAAAATACGAATTATTAGCCTCGGGAAATATTTAGGAACATCGGTGCTAACGGTCTACTGTAATCAGTTGATTTGGTACAGAAACAAATGGACAGACAGCCCCACATAAATCCCGAGGATTCCAGCTGGATAACTGTTCTTGCCTACAATACGCAAAATAAAATACTTAGTTTTTTTACTACCCGCAAAAAATCAAGTCATGCTCGATGGAAAAATAAAATACTCAGAAATACCACCGCCTTCAGATCCCTGAGTGTTTATCAAGCACATTTTAATAGTTCCAATACTACCTGATCCACTTTTCAGCGATTTTCTCTTTGAATTATTATGAAATATAAGCTTAATGATATAAGTTTAAAACTTGGGCACTATGGTGGGACATAACTCCACTATGGATAAGATTTTATTTTGATAAATCACAGTGTTATGTGGTAATATTAACTGATGACGTTTCGATATCATTATGGGAAATAGTTTGTGCTCGAAATGTCATCAGTTAATATTTCTGTATAATACCGTGTGATTTACTAAAATAAAATCTTACCCATAATGGAGTTAGGCTTAATGAAGTTAACTTAGTATAGATAGAGACGCCGTGGTGAGAAGTAGTACAACAAACACGATGAGCCATAAGTATGTACTCTTATAAACATGGAGTTGTGGGTCATCGGCTCAACTATTCGACTTTCAGGGAAGGGAGTTTGGATCTTACTTCACTTACTTCAGCCTGATCGACTGGAGAGCATAATCCGACCCCTCACAATAGAAGTTTAGAGGCTGAGGGTGTTGACGCTACAGATGTAACTCATAGCGCGGTATCAGGTGAGTAACTAATTAACTCTTGCCAAAATAACTAATGCATGAGGACACCTTCGAAGTGGGTGAAAACACAACAAACAGCACACTCGTAAATAGTGATGGTAACTATAACCTTTGGAAGATCTTGAGAGATGAGAAAGAATTATGACAACCAATGCATTCCCATGTAGCTATCAATGAGTTATACCTAATGTAGGAGGAAAAGTGATACTATCTGACTGCCCAAACTTTGTTAGGTGGTGTGGAGTTGGAATCTGAGACTAAGGCTGAAGTCCAGAAGGTATGAATCACAAGCTCTGCTTGCTGTGTGAATCAGAAATGTGAAATAAGATATCTGTAACAATGAATATTTAGAGGAAGTACAAGAGTTTATTTGCTCAAAAACCCGAAGGTACCCACGAGATAGCTGCACATCTGACTACGTTCTTAACTTTACACTTGTGACAGATTAAGAAATAGTATTTTATAACTGATTACTTATCTTATGGAGAGTAGACTACACACTATAAAATGTAACTGAACCTAGTCGATTCATTATTCCGACATTGGATGGATTGTGCAACACACGTTGAGATGTAGACAGGCTGTGCCTAAAAGTAAACTGAGCTAAGTGACCTAGTCACTAACAATCAGACAAGAATCAAAATCAACTCCTAGAGATAACTCTACAGTTTTCCGCTGTTACAACTTTTTGCCTATTTGAAATAATTTCTATTTATTCAGATATCTGAATGTTCTAAAATTTCCGTTGATGGAATATCACACAAAACACAAGGAAATTGCTTTTCTAGTATACAGCATATTCACACAAACACACATTATCGACAACACGCAGCTAAACTGTAGAGTGATTCCAACTGTCATACCTCTTACTTTCATTTAAGTCTTAAACATGTTTCCATGGTTAGGTGAACCCAAATCGAGTAATCTGAACTACCCTATATTGATCCTCCCAGCATGAGTTATTAGATTGCTACCATATTAAATTTTAATCCTTCACTGGGGCAGATGACGGACATCCACGAATGACATCCCAACCACCTCAGTTGATGGTGTTTCAGCTTCACTAGCTGAAACCTAAAAATCCAAGCTAAATGTCAACATAGATAACTTGATTCTCACGAACAGGGGCATTTGGAAAAAGTCAGCTGTCATCAAACATACTTAGTCTTCACAGATGCACCTTCAATTTAAGGGGACCACAACCATGTTGTAGAATGGAGCACAGTTCTATCCAGTACATCGAAATCTAAGTAGAATATTCAGTATGCGCCGACTGCTTACTATGGTGTCTCATGAGTGTTTTATAACTTTATTGAGATTCCAATGACCATTAACTTGTCAGAGTTGATCCCACTTCACAGGTAAGATAAGCACACAATCTCCTGAGAGGAGATACATGTGCACTCAAAGGAGAAAACGAGAACACGTATGGAAAAATTGGATGAAAATGACCAGTGCTGATACGGTAATGATACCACAGAATGTAGGTATGTTACAAATAAAGACACAGAACCTTTAAGAGGTATATACTGTTATCAAAAATCTCAATCGATGAACTCAGGTGTTGTTTCACACACAATACTCCTGTGATATATCGGCGGACATACACTTCAACAGAATACACAGGAATTTCTAAATTACGTTAGGAATCACCTAGGCATTTACATGTATATTTGAACACCTAAGATCATACGTAGTTAGTCACAGACAAGAACTGAACATGTCGTAGATTTGTGAAACCAACGAGTTCTGATCGGATTATTATCGCAGCGATATTAAAAGTGACTAATGCTGCCATAATTGTTTTGCACTCCCACAACACAAATGCCTACCATAAACTGTTGTATGGAACCATCTTAAGATTTATTAATTAATGTCAATAGGGCTTCAATTTGCACTGCGCGGCATGTGAATATAAAAAAAGCAAATTAGTAACCCAGGTCTAGTCGAGAGAACCAATATGATACAGTAATCTAGACAATTCCTGTCTTATGTGCTCAGTCTTTCTGAACTATAGTTCAGATTGGGCATTGAAGCTAGAAATCAAATACTGGCAAATTGTAGTACATGCTTGAGGATATTTTGACTAGTGAAACCATCTACAGCTCTTATTTAGGATTACGGAATGCCTAAATGCACGCACGTAACACGATTGATTCCTAATTTCAAATCCTCTTTTTCATTTGATTGTATAAAAAACATTTAGACTGTGCAAAACAACACAAATGTCCATTCCACTTAACTAACCTTAGTCAGGAAAACCACTATGCATTTGTCCGGCTTAAGAAACGCCCAAAGAGAACTAAAAAATAAGCTAGTTGTCTTTGTGTGTACAAAAGACATGTAACAAAGCCTGATACGTTTGGCCTTGAAAAACAAAAAGGTCATGGCTACAATTGACCAATCATATGCTCTTTACTCTCAACTTGTATTCCTACATGTCTGTTCTAGATGTGTCTGTTAACTAACACACCGCAAACATTATCCTAGGGTATGCTATTCATGTTCTCTCATGTCTATCTAACTAAAATTGTTCTGGCACCCCTGGAAACCTACATCCTACGTTAACGGTCCGATCTCATCATTGACAATGAAAAATGATTAGTGCAATTTGTATATCAAGTGTTGTTCATGCAGCTTTCGTGTTGTTTTCATTTGATCTAGTGACTGTTATTAGGGTGCATCACAATTATTAGGCTTCGAATATAAATTATAATTAGGCTACTGTTGGCTGGACCAAAAGATGACATGAATTTTAAGTCTGCTACACCGAATCTTGTTGTCCCGTAAATATGCTGTCAGAAATATGCAGCGCGTGGATCTGTGGTTGATTGGTTCTGGGAAAAAAATGAAACCATATGAAATATTATGCTATGTTACTACTAACCAGATTGCGCATCACAGTAGTAAACAGTATGCTGTTCCTTGTTGTAGTGACTAAAGTAGCTAACTGTAAAGCGAAATTTGAATGTACATTGTTGCCCTCCAGATACTTACACATTGGCTTGACTCATTTTTATCATCAAACGTGTAGCGGTAAATAATTCCCCAAAATTATTGGCCTACAGCATTCATTCCTCACCACTGGATGATGACCTTCACATTGTTTAAGTCGACTCGTTTAACTGGGAGCTTGCAGTCAAGCAAACACTCCATTTGTCACGCCGTCGTGTTACGTTCGTTCGTGCACGATCCGTGGTTAGCTAAGCATCTAACATTGCACTACGATTTTGATCCCAAAATATACTTCGTATTTTGAACGATCAATTTAGTATAATTATATTTCAATGGATTATACACAATGATAAGTTTTTGTTTTGGGTGATAATTCAAGCAAAATTACTGCCTGTGTTCATACCGGCTGTTGCTCGAAATATTATCAAAAACAAAAACTGTCATTGTGTGTAAACCATTGAAATATGATTATACTTTATTTGGTCTATTCCACAATCCTCAAACTTTTCACTGGCATTAGATCAATTTAGCGTTTCGATTTGCATTTAGTGATCACTATATCTTAAAGATCAAGAAGTAATTACAACTCTAATAAGGTTGCAAATGCGTTGGAAATACACCTATTAAAAGGGGAAAGCGATCAGTCATTCTGTGAAGATCTATATATGTACACTTTGGTTGGAAACTAGTAAGTAGTGTGATGTGTCCAAACTTTCTTTGGTACAGACTGAATACTGTCAGTCAGGTTTGCAATAAGGCCATCATTCTAAGTAGCTCGCCATCATGGTGCACATTGATTTGATGATATTAGATGGTTGGAGGCAATCGGCAGGAAGCCTTGTACGACCTAGGTTTTGTGGTATTTCGCAATCACCAATAATCAAGGCGTATCTGCAACGTCGAAAGAATCCATGCCCCTTCTGAGATTTGAACCCGCGTCACCCAGTGCTGCAGTCAGAGACGTTACCACTAGTGTTGAATCAAGCAAAGTATCCAATACAGTCCTACAGGAGGTAAATCGCGAGCCCGAATAGCTCTATACGTGCTGCAACACACGATAAACCACCGTCTACCTATACGAATAATGTCAGTTAGAGCATAATTAGGTTGGAGAAGAGTTGGGGGCAGTCAGACTAAAAGTTAACATCAGCCGAAGTCATTTAAATTAACTTAGAAGGTCTGATTGAAGTCCTCAAGATGTTAACAATCACAAATTTGGAACTTTTTGTGGCATGGGTCAAAGTCATTTAGAGTAGAGTCGATTTGTTATTCATTCCCTGTCATCTTCAATTATTCTTCATCTAATTATTTTACCCATTGTTGGCCTTCATACACCGTGATTTCCCTACATATCCTTTCTGCTTTTCTTTGTTTGCCTTACTGAAGTGGGATCACTTGAAAGTTAGTCAGTTACAGACTCATAACTCTTTTTGTTTCATCATCAGTCGTCAACCGAAAACCATCCTAAAGTAGTACAGTAAAGTCAAATGATTTTCTGTGAGATAATGAGCCATTAGAAAATTACAGCAAACATGCTTCAAGACACCTCACACATTCCTTTAAGAAATAAGCAAGTAGATAAGGAACTAGTGTAGGTTTAAGTCATTGAATGTTGTTAGTCAAGTGAAGATGATACCATTATACGATAGTAAGTGTGTGTCATCCTCCAACCACGCCTCCCACACAACCGCTTGTTCGATATACAAAGCGAAATAGTAAGCCATATCAGAAAAATGGCTGGGTCCTTCAAAATACAAAATATATATTTCGGGGTCAATGCTGTGTGCTTAACTAACTAGAGATGATGCATAAACAAAGGCGTGTAGTACTACAGAGTGTCAAGTTGGGTGCTTGCTTGGTCAGGTGTTAACTTTTTTTTATTATTCCCTTGGGTTCCGAATGGAACATACGCCTTCAACTCCACATCTCCACTTTCTTACATTTTCTGCCATCCTCTTCAACTGGGTCCACGATTGACCAGAATCTCTCATCTCCTCCTCCTCCCCAACACACGGTCTTCTCAATGTCACCCTCTCACCGACGACCCCCTAGTCAGTTCCCACTGGGATTCCACTTGACTGATGGCGTGCAGTGAGCGTTATGTCATTCGACAGTTTCCTCAGTGTATGCCCAATCCATCCCCCCTTTCTCCTACATTTTTGTTGATCGATCGGCTCTTCTTTGGTTTGTTCCACTGCAGACATTCTTGTGCCTATTTCTATACGACCATTTGATCTTCAGTATGTAGCAAAGTGGCCAGCTGTTGATAAAAGTCTGCAACTGACTGTTGGAAACCTTTTTCGTTACACGCCGAGTTTCTGACTCGTATAGAAGGACCGACTTGATATTTGTGTTGATCACACGTCTTTTGTTTAAATAGTGAAGATCAGTAACCAATTCTAAATTATGGTGGAACTTCAAATTAATACTTCTATACAATTGTTCGCCACCACGTATAAGTTAACCGCATACCATTTCATTGTATCGAGATTGTGTGCTCAATGGACCAACCACACAGTGTATGTGTGTGTGTGTAAACTAATGAGTGATATTTCTATCACAAAATCAATCCAATCATCCAATAATTCCCGGCGTGTTTTCATCACTTTGTCCGATTTTTTCAACACTACTGATGAGTATCAATCGTCTCCAGGTACTCGAATGAGTCAATATTTTGCACTGCATAAAACTCATAACATTTGAATCTACCACGAGGATTTCAAAAAGCTGGTCAGTTCTAGTTTTCCCTGACTTCCTCAACTGATATGATGTATCTAAGTAAGTCTTCAGAAATGGTTGATTTGTAATTTAGACTCATTTTTAAATCTCAGGATACATGACTTATAGAATTATTCGCCAATAGCAAACTAAAATATCAGCAGAAGTAAATTACCACCCTTACTGTTCAATATCAAACACCAAATTAACCTCACTTGTGTGTCTGTAAACAGCGCAATTAAATAAAAGAGGGACTGAAGATGTCCAGTTAATAGATGAAGGAAAGACTGATAACTGCTTCTTTCTGAATGCGTAGATTGGATTTTAAACGTCTGTTGGCAGCTGTGTCGGCAGAGTTGAGCAGAAGTGAATTATATCGTCTACTGGTAATTTTAAAGGACTTCAAGGTGTCCACCACATGTTTCGTATTGACGAGATGTTTTGTAATAACACTGCCGAGAACGTTCATTCCCTCGAGAGGTAGGCCTTTTGTTACATGTTCAGAAAATCAGAGGTATGTCCTTCTTTCTGTTCTCCCAATTTAACTGCTACCACAGATACATGCAAATTTGTACACAGTTAGTGCTAATATGAGAAGGGTGTCCACTGTTTTTTGACTGTAACAAATAGCCTGTTATCCACTGAACGGGAATCAACTTGATTGCAGGAAAGGTTGTGGTTGGTGAGTTATTTAACCTTCAATTGACTATTCCTGCAATGTTATCAGCTTTGAAATCGAATTGAAAGAAGATAGGTTTCTAGTTTACTGTGATTTGTTTGGTATCTAAATCTTTGTACTTGTTAAGGAATTTATGAGGGTTATTGCTGTTTTTCAAAAAATATTGTTTAACCACTAAAAGCTATTTACATATTGAACTGACATTGGTTAGAGGACTATTAGAAAACGTGCAGGGAGTACTAGAGAGATGTTTCTTCCTAGTTTGGTATTCCTAATCAGTACACAGCCACCTCCAGTATTCGAACTCAGGATCTTCCAGTTATAAGGCGAGCTCGTGGATCATTAAGCTGCTGGGACGTGGTAGAGTGGGCCATGAATTTCGTCTTCTGCCGATTCACGATATAGTACGATTACCAGCTAATGTCATCGGTAAGTATCTGTCGTCACTCCCGAACGGGTGGACTCCACTGGTCACGACTTTTCATTAGAACGCAGGTAACTGTTTACCGGGTCGCGTCCCAGTAGCCTAATGGCTTACGAGTTTACCTTGTAAACAGAAGGTCCTAGATTCGAATCCCAGTAGATGTTTATTTCGAAGAGCCCCAAACCAGGATGAAACAGTTGTCCACTACTCCCTGCAGATTGTCCAATGGTTCTCCGACCGATGTTAGTTCATGATGAAATCCGTGTGCGTCGGTGGCACAGTGGTTAGGACTCTCGCCGACCATGCACATGGTTCGGGGTTCGAGCCCACGCCGGCGCACACCTGATATCTATGGTCGGCCTGCAAAATTTGGGCTACCGATATCCATGCTGACAATTCCATACTTGTACCGAAAATACAGTGTGGAATCAAGCTGTAAATCAAAAAAAAAAAAAACAAGGCCAGCGAGCTCGTATACCATTAAGTCACTGGGAC